TGGCAAGATGTTCTACTTAAATGCATTTGCTGCTGCCGCGTCTGGAGAGGTAGAGGTCCAGCTGTCTGGCCTAACGTTCTATCTCCATTCCAAGTCCCTTCTGCTTCTGTGTCTGGCTTGCGCAGAACTTTCACCGTTGCCTCTGTTCTTCCTGGCTCATCCTGGCTCTTCCTGGCTCGTCCTGGCTCTTCCTGCTGCGTTAGTTAAATTATTATAATGATTTACACTGAAGTGGCTGTTGCAATATTTTTTTGGGGGCTCAGACAGCTGGAGATAATGACCTGGGGATCTGAAACTGGCCGTTGTCTTGCTAAGATTTTCCTCAATTGAAATGTTGCATCTTTTATTTTATGCTTAATTTTCGGTACCATGTTTCCCGTTCAAGCACACTCTGGCTGTCATCTACTCGTAGTACCTCTGTCAAATTGTAGCCACTTGGCGGTCAGGACATCTACATCAGTCGCACTCCCATTTAAAGGTTTCAATTTTCGAGTGCGCCTATTGGCCCACTTCTGGGCTCTTGATGTCTCTTCCAAGACAACTCAAAGCCTTGTGTTGGCCACATTCGTCTTGGCTTGGCCAGTTGTGCTCACAGTGTGAAGTGCCACACTGGTGGAACCCCAAAGTGATTTTATGTTTTATGAAAGGTGACATGTGCCAACAACAGTCAGGCCCTTGCCACATTCCTGGTCGACCGACCTGGACGCCCGTTGTAGTGTCAGTTCCATTGTTACCCAGAACCAGGCATGTAGCTGAGGTTCCCCCCCCCCCCTCCGAGCGGCGATTGTGTGCGTGTCCCTGTGGTTGCTGTTGCAACATGCTGTAAATTATTATGAGCTCGAGTGGTTTTCGAGTGCGGCAACAGTTTGCTGTGTGGGTAGACGGAAATGAAATGCCATAGTTCACCAAATGAAGCGACAATAATAATTTTCATTACATGAATCTCCAGATTGGAAATGATCGAATGGTTATCCTATATTTCTTCTAAGAATTCAGATGCAATATTATTGATTTAATAAGATGGTTAGATGGTATTGTTTGTATTTGTGGCCGAGCAAAACATTCTGCCAAGTAGTAGTAGTGGTAGCCTGAAGGGGTTATATTACAAAAATTCTTCAAGGAAATGCTACCTGTAATTATAACCAATTTTATTTGATAAACTAAGCATTCAATGCTTGGTTGTGAGGGAACAAAAGTAGGAAAGACCTACTTTCCCTTTCCATTTCAATTTCATGGTTAAGTATTCTATTGCAAAAACTGGTTGGCATTTGTTGGCTTAAATTCCGTGCTATTAGACACGTTGTTTCTGCATCAACTTCCGTTTCCTTTGCAAGTTTACTGGGAGCTGAAACTGCAGCTGCATTACTCCCGCTTGGAGCCCGCTCCGGTTCGGCTCTGTTCAAATCTCGGCATACTAATTTATGCTGCTGCTCCGTCCCGGGAACGGCAAGTCACTTAATTTCCAGTGCGATTTTTCTCAGGACTCCCAGCAGCGGGAGCTGGAGCGGTAGCTGCAGATAGAGTGGGTGGTGTGACGGAGAAAGGCGGCGACAAAGTGACAAACAACTAAGCGAAAATCGCGTGCGTGACGCGTGGCAGCGGCAGGGGCAGGAGCAGGGGCAGGGGCAGGGGCATAAAGTTTGTGACACGTTTCCCCAGTTGCATTTTGTTTTTATTTTCGCCCAGCAGCCGGAGAAGTTCTGGTGCCAAAGAAGCGCTAAGGAGCAAAAAGGTCTGCTCTGCCCCAAATGCCGATGGTGGGCCATGATGGCGACACTTTACAGCCGCGTTGCATGCCTTGGGGCGTTATGCAAGTCACGTTAATTTCACCAGCCAACTGTGAAGGAAAAGCAACAGCAACAAAAACAACAGCAACGAGAACGGGGTGTTGGAAAACTTTTGCCATTTTCAAAGGGACTTGAAAGGTGGACGAGGCAAATCAAAATGTTCAGCATGCCAGGAGAAATATGTTTGTTTTGTCTTGCTTTCCATACAACTTATGGGGCGGCCAGCCATAGGCTCCCACTTTCTCCCTTCTCCGCCCTCCGCCCTCCGCCCTCCCCCTTACCGCCTTCATAGGGCACTCATTAAGCGTGTTTATATAATATAAATTAGCTTAATTTGAAAACATTTTTTGATGCCAAAACTTTGCCCGCCTTCTCAGCAGCCGAGAGGAGATACAAGAGGCAAGTAGCAAAGAGGCAGAGGGAGTGGCAGTGGCAGTGGCAGTGGCAGTGGGGGCAAGAAACTTCAGTCTCAGCTAATTTATATGCCCGTTGGACATTCTCGCGCTTGCCAAAAAGTTGCCTCCAACTTCTTGGTCTTCGTCTCTTGTCTCCTGTCTTCTGTCTCCTGTTGCGGGTTAATAAGACGACGACCAACAAATTGCCAACATTACTCTTTCCCCGAGTGGTGAGGGGAAGGAGCTCGTAGAGGTAGAGAGAGAGAGAGTTTAGGGCCGGTTGGCGGTTGCTTGCAAATAGACTTTTGAGTGTTGTACTTGGTTGCGGGCCCGGCAGCTGTCTTGTTGACTCTGCGATGGGCCGATGGTTCAGTCTTCTTCGCAAGTGTCAAAAGCGCAGGCAATTAATTTGGCCTAATTAGACTCTTGGATGCCTGGCGGACGGACTGACTCTCCGCCCCCCCATTCAGCCTTTCCCACCATCGGCTGAGGTTGCATTTTTTGTGGCTTGCCTTAGACTTAGCCAAATTGAAGCAAAGTTCGTCGTGGCACAAAGGATTTTCGGGCTGTTGAGCGATTTATGGCTTAATGGAAATGACTTATTGTACGTGAAAGCTGTGGGAATGGAAAATGGGGCTCTGATCACACTGAATTACCGCAGTCTGGGGCGTTTTAAGCAAGTATCTACGGGAAGCAGACTATAATTAAAAATGTCGCTTTATTGCTGCAGGAAATTCCTGTCTCTCGAAGATCCCTCTGATCTGAAAGCGAGTCACTTACAATCTTCAAAGAAGTGGTGAAATATATATACCCATGGTCTCGTGGCGCTATTCTTGGGGTCTCTCGGGATTGTTGTTCTTAAAATCCTTGTAGGCAGTAGTCTGTTAGTCTGTCTGTAGACCATCCATTCCTATGTCGACGTTACGCTGGAAAATGCCATTTGCGATGCCATTGGGTCAGAGTTCTGAACTACCATTCGACGGAAAGATTTAATGAGTGAATTTAGTGTTTTATTTAAGGGTCATGCATTATTGAAGCAGCGCTTAAGAACTGACAAGTGTTTCAACCTTCTCCATTCAGCTAGTCAGGGGCCTCAAGCTCCTTCAGCGATGACCATCTGAAGCAGCATTCCATGCTCCATTCCTGGCCTCCCTCCCACATGCGGACAACTTGAGCGTAACAGTTTCCAATGCCTCGGTGCCAGGCCATAATTTGCTTAACAACTTTTCCCAATAGTTGGCACACTGCTCGCTTTCTCTTGCTCCTTCCGCCCCACCCTCTGTGTCTATCTCTCTTGGGTCTGTGTTGGCCGGGGGCCAATTTCTTTGGCACTGTTCGACACTGGCCGCTTATATAATAATTTTGCAGCATAATTTATGGGCAGAAAAGTTTTCTGTGGCTGCCCAGTCGAACAATTGCCACTATAATGTTGTGGGCCCTTGCATTTTACATTTTATTCAAGCCAAAAAATGTTGGTTGCTCCGTCCAGGCGTAAACTATGCGGTCCAGCCATCCGCCTCTCCTATCCACCATGGCCATAAATTTCTGCCTTTCCGCTTATCGAAAGGGGGACATGGAAAACAGGACCCGGCACCGGCCCCGACCCCACTGAATGGCATAACAAACGTCAAATTGATTTTAAATTGCATTCTTCGTTTGGTATTTCCCTAAACAAAAAAGCAAATATTTTTACAGCGTTGCAAATGTTTGGTAGCCAAGGAACATTTCTGATTTTACCTATAATTTAAATTGTACTTGCTATGAAGGCTTTTAGCTTAGAAATTTTAGAGAAGTTGGACAGAACGTATTGTTATACAAAAATCATGAATTTATTTTTTGCGTTTAATGCTTGGTTCCTGTACATGACTTAAGCTCATGTTTCTGTTATATAGGATCGTTCTACGATTACAGGGTTAACAAATGAAGATAAATATTGTAAAAACAAAAGCCACAAATAATAATTGCACAAAAAAGAAACACTCGTATTAAAATTTATTTATTTTGCGGATTTAGTAATACTCGCATTAGCTGTAAAAGTTACTCAAACAGTATCTGAACGATACCTTTGGTTCGGGCGCATTGCACCCTCCCATTGGGGCTGATAAGAAGTGTTTATTGGTCTTGAAATCGGAGACAGCGTATGGACAGGATGGAGATGGTTGTATACACGATACACGATACACACTGCTCTCTTTGCGAAATGTTCTGTTGCGGAGATCTTCAAACAAGCAAACAAACGAATGCAAAGATAAAAACGTGATCATTCAACAGCAAAAACAAATTGTGAATCACAGAAATAGAGTGGGAGATGCAAGTGGGAGAGGAGAAGATACAAATACTGGAAAGACAAAAACTTGTCATGTGAGCCATAAAAAAAAAACAACCGAAACTCTACAAAAAAGGAATGGCTAGGTGCCGAAACCTTAGATACCCTTTACATGTATGGTGACAATGTCAGATCTGCTATTACAATATATCTGAGTTATATATATATGGCCTTAAAGTCGGTCATTTTTCTGTATTGCAACATCTATCAATTAGTGATCCGATTAGTAGGACTATACCACAGTCTTTTCTGCATTGGATTAGGATAAACTTGCTGCCATTTTTTGCAAATATAAGGATAAAATCATGCAACCTTCTTGTTCCAAGGGTATACAAACAGATACTCTAATGAATGAACCTATGAAGAGTGGGAGAGCGCGCTAGATAAAGACTGCGAGAGAAAGCTCCGCTAAAGCTGGGGGCCCGCAACAGGTGAGCGCTCAGTTCTGCTCTTGTGGCCAGAGCTTACAGTACGCGGAACGGGAACACTTGAGAACGGAACAGGTCAGAGCACCGCCAGCAGCCTGAGCGCGCCTTTAAGCCAAGCTGAGCCGAGCCGAGCTTTCGGCTCTGAATAATTTGCGTGAGAGTGGTTTTTGTTGCTGGGTGTGCCGCAGCAGTGCGACGTGAACGGGCGAGCGGCCAACACGTAAGCGGCGCGTTATGCAGTGGAAACGAAAGAGTGAGAGAAACAGACGACAATAAGCAGCAGCAGCAGCAGCAACAGCAGCAACTCAGGTGTGAATTGATATTGAGGTTATGTAAGCGTCAGGCCATAAAAACGCGCATACAAAACGCTGCTGCATTGGCCAGGCCACACGTTTGCCAATAATTCAAGACACGCGCCTTGCCCCGATCCACTCCGCACCCCCTTCAGCTGGAGAGATTCGCATTCCAAATGGACGACTCCAAGGCGCAGCCGCAGCAGCAGCAGCAGCAAACTCATCCTTTGGAAGATGTGTCCCTCAATGAGAATGATGACGACAAACAGACGCACAAAAATTGGGTTAAATTCGATGATGAGGCAGACGGCAGTGAAAAAAATAATAACAGTAACGGCAGCGATGCCACACAACAGCAACAGCAACAACAAGAACAGCAGCCGCCGCAGCCGCAGCAGCGGCAAAACAAGTTAGCTCTGCCGCCGCCGCCGTCGGTTGTGAGCAGCAACAACAACAGGCGGGCGCGCTCGCGCAGTCCGAATCAACTATCGACAACAACAACAACACCTGTCCAGGTGAGTAGCTCTCTCTCCGCGGTCTGGCTCTCTCGCTCTCTCGCACTCTCTCTCCCTGTCGTGCGGGTGACCCAAACGCAACGAAACGCATTCCAATGCGCATTTGGCCCTTATTCCCCCTCCATCACGCACAAACAGAGACAAACAGGGTTGTTACAGTGAATTCTCTGTCCAACAGAATATATGAGTGTTAGCTGTTCCATTAATGGGAAATATCTATGTAGTTTCTACTAGGTATCTACTGTGGACAACTTAATCTTTCAACTGACTGGAAATAATAATAAATAATAGAAAAAGTAAAATTTCCCCTTAAGTCAGTGTCCACTGTACTTTTACTGTCCCCGCTTAATGGAGTTGTTATGAAAAGTTGTTTTTTGATTCTCAAACTCTCTTTTGTGTTGTTTTTGGGAACGTTTCTCGCATGACAAATGAGGTTCTACCGAGTGTAGTAGACCCTGGCTGAGAAGTTGTACCAGAGGGGCGCTCCATCCGGTGATAAACTCTGACTCGATGTAGTCATGATTGTATTGGGTTTCGGTAGGTACATAAGTGACACGTCACAGTAGCTGTGTGTTTCTGAAGTTCTGTTTGTTCTGTTAATTTAACCAGACTTTCGCCTATATTTTACCGATAAAAGAATGCCAGGTTTTATTCAGATCAGTTTACATTTCAATAATAACAAAGAATTCTCTTGAAAGTTCTGAACTTTTATCTTCGCAATGTTCCACTCCCATATACCTCGCCACAACGAAAGATAAACCGAATTCATATTCCGTTTCCACGAGCGATTGCTAAAACATTTCACCTTCACCGGTGCTTCTTTTGTTTACTGTTTCTCCGAAGTAAATATTTAATATTTATATTTGTATAATTTATTTTTTTGCAATTTGCAATTGGAGTCCGTTAACAGCCTGTGGCCTTAAGGTGGTTTCGTGTAACTGTGAAAATTGGCATATAAAATACGTATATTTTGTGTTATAGTAGTATTTTCGGAATATAATTGTAGCTACCTAAATTACTGGATTTAATTTAAATGGGATATACTTTTTTGATTGTTTGTTACTGGCCTTGATACTTTAGAGAATAGTCTAGCATGAAATCGATTCTATATGCTCAGGGCCGACTCATTGCAATTAGGCCGCATTATAATCTAGAGCTATATCAATGTTTGCGGATCCACTAAGTAGATGCTGCAGACTCTCAGGAAGTTCCTAGGGCTTTAACTTGTTTATCTTAGTTTATCAGTGTTTTGTAGTTTGTTTTGGAGCCGGCATAAATAGTTATAAATGTTTAAATATGTGCCTGAAACCTGAATCTTTTGTTTGTCTTTGCTATCGGAAGAGAGATAAGAACTACAGATTCCGGTAATTCCAATTAGACGTGGATACGTTTTTTTATTGCACAAACATTCATTAGATTTAGTGTATGGCCATACTCGAATGAGAGTTTTATGTTACGCGTATTGGGACAAGCAAAAACTGAACAATTCAGCTGTGCAGCTGTACAGCTGCTGGCCGCCTTTTGAAGCCAGTGGATTGCCTTGGCGAATCTATTTAGGGGCCATGAAGCTCTCAAACGCGTACGTGCAAATTGACAAATTATTCTCATTGCAATTGATGTTTGCAGCTCGCATTTGTGGCCAGATTTATAGATACGTTTTTAACGACTCTCTCGGCCCTGCAGCGCTTAAAATGTAAAATCAAAAATCAATAAAATTGATTTTCTTTTGCCCATTTGCATAATTTTCTTTGCTGGCTTGCCGGCCGCAGGCTGACCCTTCGACGTTCTAAGGCCAAGAGCACTATTAACCCATTGTTGTTGGCATTTCCACAGCGCCCAGCCGTTTCCTCGACAACAGCTGCGTCCCCAGCCCCAGTCCCGGCACCAGGCACAGCCGCAGCCTCGTCGCCGGATGTGGCGCCCGCTGTTTTGACAACTGAGAGTACGCACGTTAATCTGAATGCATCCGGCAGTGGCATTGTCAGTGGCAACGTTGCCAGCGGGGCGAGCGGCTCCACCCCGGCCCGACACCCCCAGCAGCTAATAAACCAAAAAGCAACGGTAGCCTCAGCCTCCTCCGTCCAGGCTCCAGCCTCGTCCTCCAGCCACCATAACGGCAACGGAGCCCATGGCAGCAGCAGCACCAGCATACCGATGGATCAGGGCTCCGGCATGCGCACAATTGAACTGTCAACGGGTCGCATCCGTGAGGGATTTGGTAAGTACCTGCATCGTTTTTGGGTAGTACACCAGCTCAACAATTCTTGAATATCTATTTCTTTCCCCAATGATGTACCACAGCGAATGGCGATGTGATTGTCACACTGCTTCCGGCCAACACCAAATGGCCTTGGATTACGCCCGCAATATTTCGTCCGGAGCTGGTGCCGGAGGAGTTGATGGCCCAGGGTCTGACGGTAAGCGGAGTGAATTGAAAAATTATCCATCATCTAATGTCTCTCGATCGCCGCCCGCAGCTCACAGTGGAGGACTATGTGAATGCGATGGAGACGCTGGTGAATGATTACCGCTTCACCGTGTACAACATTTGCTACAAGCGCATCCTCGTCTGTTGGATCCTGTTCGCCTTCACAGTGCTGCTGGCGTTGCTGTTCTCGGGACTGCAGGGCGTGGCCCTGTTCGCACTGGGCGTGGGCTGGTTATTCTTGAATGCGGCGGCCATATTCCTGTGCATGTGGGTGAAACTGCGGCTGTCGCGCGGCCTGGAGAAGTGCCTGGCCCGGGTCAACAAGCAGCTGATGCGTCACAAAATACTCCTGGTGCTGGATGACCGAGGCCGCATCTCGTGCCACAAGGTCAACCTCTGCTTCATGTACTTCGATGCCACGCAATGCGTGAGCTTCCTCAACGAGTTCCTGGAGCACACGGAGCAAAACGGCGGCGAGGCCATCAAGGCGGGCTGGGAGGCCAAGCTGGACATTGATCTGAACGATATTGTCATTCAGGGCAGTCAGCCAGTGAGGATGCCGCGTAAGCAGGTGAGCGAGTATTTTGATTTCATGCGAGTACAGTCGGTTGGGAGATCTTACATGCATACATGCATATATGAATTCAGGTAGTTGTTGCTTCTTTCATCATCATCCCCTCTCGAACCTCTCGATCCCACCTCTGTCTATCTTTCTCTCGCTGCCACTCACGCACCTCACCAATTATTAACTGCTCTCTCTAGGCCTTTGCCCAGGAGCTCTTCCTTAGCTATCTGCAGCGATGGGGCAAGGATTTCCTGCGTCGTCGCCTCGACTGGACGGTCCAGGAGGCGGGAGTCCACGAAACGCCCAGGCATCTGCAGTCGTCCATCTGCCCCTGTCAGTATGAGGAGGAATTGCTGCGCAATAAAATCAAAATTAGCCTGCAGCATCGCCAATGCTGTGGCATCAACTGCATGGGCTGCTGGCTCTGAAACCACAGGCAGAATCTCTCTGATTTGTACACACAAGAATTGTAATTTTCCGTGTTTTGATTAGCGTGAATGAATTAAATTGCAGAACGAAAACAAAAGCACACGAAGTTTTGTCATTGTATTGTATTTTTAAGCAATTAATTTGATATGATTTGATTTCGTTACAGTTAGTTTCAGTTTCAGTTTCAGATTCAGATTAAGTTTCGTTTTTCGTTTACCGTTTAATTAAAATTGCATCCCGAAAGTATGCAGCACATTTCTGTTATTGCATTTAAATAATCCGCACTTTCATGACATGACCCATCCACCATTCATGACGATTACCACACACTCCAGTTTCTAACCCACTCGATCTACCCAAATATCTCATCTCAATATCTGCTTACTCTTCTGTGTTTCTCATTTCCCGATCTACCCCTGATCTCTCTGTAGGAGCGCGGACTGCAGCTGTTTCTGCGCTACGGCTCCCGTTGGGGCATGGAGGCGCTGCGGGGCCTGGTGGACGTCACGCCCCTGGAGCCGGGCCGCCACTGCGGGCAGTTTCAGTGCCCCTGCCAGTACATCAAAGAGCACTTGCAGTGCAAACCGCGAGGCAAGTTCAAGTGTTGCAATTTTGTCCATTGGGTGTTGGCATCTGAGCGCTACGATAGCTAAACTGTTTTCTAAATGTGAATTTTTGCCGTCCATTGCTGTACATTTATTTGCCATTGTGTCATTGTGTAACTAGAGAATTTATCGTGTACTACGTGATGGCGAGGCCATGCTGGAGAGGCTTTGTGAATTTATTTTTTGTTTTCTCCTACTTCTGCATTAATCGGGCATGTAAATATTTTGGGAATACATAAACATATATCTTTTCGGATAAGATCAGAAAATACCAACAAGCTACCAAAACATACATGTAGAGGCTGCCAGTAAATGAGGCTAAAAATACTTCCAATAATACATTCATGCAAGTGAAAAACTCTCTCTCTCGTTTCAGATGTTAGCCCCTAAGGCTTCGGTAATGTTTTGTAGTTTTTGGTATTTTTTTGGTGCAATCAACACTCTTAATACCTCCCTAACTCCCACCTCCCCCAACTTTATATGTGTACAAAATTAACTCGAATGTTTTCTAAATTTGTTGTTCAACTATGTCTCTTTGATGCCTGCCACAGTCGCCATAAACAGCATTGGTCAAGTAGTTTGGACACGGTTCCCCTTGTTTGGTGGCTAGGTGTTGGCACAGATACCACAAGTACCCTGACCTTGACCCACAACACACACAGTTTCGAGTATGAACCAAAACTAAGCCGTTTCGATATTATTATTTCAAAAATTATACCTAATGTTAACCGAATGCAAAACGAATGAATTTCTTATTAACGTAAGCACTGTAAAAATGTTCCATTTCTACTATATTTTGTTGGTGTCATGAATAAATGTCAGATATATGTATGTATGGATCAGTCTTTTATTGATTAACCCCCTCGTATGCGTATTACTGATTCTACATGTCTCCTTTCATTGAACGCCTCTTACAGGTTATCCATGTGGGTGCATTGTCTATGGTTCGGATCCAAGTTTTCAGTATCGTTACTAGATATGTTGTTCATCATTTTAATACTTAGCCCCTAAATCGGGACTTGTTTGTGTTCGAAAGCTGCAATTTACACATATATATTTAATGTCATGTATACTAAATAAATAAACACATTCTTCAGTATTTTAATTTTTACTTTAATTCTCGCAAAACGTTCTCGTGAGTCGACCCTTCGCCCCCTTCTGCCCCTTCTGCTCTTCTGAAATTTTTGTTTGTCGCTTAAACTCAATTTCCAGCAAAATGAAATACAAAATTAATTTGGGTGAACAAGAAAAAACTGTTGCCGTGTTTGGACAGCATAAAACTATGCACGAGTACAGTGCGTATACGAAATATAAGACAGCGAGTCCTAAAAAAAACAAATTTACTATGATTTTGTGTCAGTTGTTGGACATCCAACATAATGCTACAATAAATGCCATCACTTGGGCGCAGACTACATGGCAATAGCTGAATCACTTACATCTATGAAACGCACTGTATTTGTATACACCATATGGGTTTCCCAGGTTTCAGAGGAACCCCTAATGGTCTGGCGCTTCCTGACTCTCCAATTTTTGGGGCTGTTGTGGGGCATGTGCCAGTTCAACTATTATTGCATTATTTTTTATTGCATAATTCAACTTAATGTTTTGCCGCATTTTAGCCACATTCACGTTCCACAAATTGTGGCAGTGGCAAAAGTTTGCTGTGGCCCGTGCGTCGCCCGCTTTGCGTTGCATGTGTAATGACTCATTACCACGGTGCAGCATTTTGGGGAATGCCACACCATTCATTCCATTTTAATGCACGTGAGCCACTTAAATGCCTTCATTTAATATCATTTCTGCATTCAAATTAGCTGGCAGACGTTTGTATCTATGCTGATGGCTGATGGCTGGTGTCTGGTGGCTGATGGCCGATGCGGCTATTATATGTATGATGGAAAGCGTCAACTATCTTATTTGTGGGTAGGTATAATCGTACGTATATTCTGGCACTTTGATTTGATTCCCCACTCCGTTCACCAATCGCCATGCTCCACGCCCCATGCCCCATTCCTGCTGCTTACCAAATCAGAGAAAAACACAACAGAATTAAAAACAAAACACGATTTCACGCTCCAATAAAACAAATTCAAACTCTTGTGGCAGGCAGGGAGGCAGGCGGGCAGGCAGGCAGCGTGTGGCAAGAATGCGCCATTAAATTTTCACCAAACTTCGTCGAACTCGAGCAACTCGTTAGTCCAACTGCACTCCAATCGACAACGAGTCAAACGAGGTGCAACCATTGCCAAAGGCAGTGCCCCGCCAGAGGCGCGTAAACTAATCGCAAACAAACAAACACACACAATCACCCGTACTCTCACCCGTACTGCCTCCAGTACCAACACCCACTCCTCCACTCCGCCACCCCATACCCACATACAATCATTACACTCATTCCCAAACCAAATTCGAGGCTCATCAAAGTTTTTCCTTCTCTACTGCTGCCACGGCTGCTGCTGCTGCTGCATTTTTCGGAAATTCAATTCATTTGTGTAATTTTCATTTGAATTACAGCCATCAAAAGTGCCATGGTTAGAGAGAGGGGAGGCTGGCATGCCTGTGGGCGTGGCAAGCGCTGATGGCCAGCACTTTGTGCATTTCATTCTAGAGGAAAATACGAGCACTGGTTGCCCTAACCAGAGGAAATTGTGTGATTGGATTTCAAATAGAAACATTCTTTCCTTTCCTTTAGCTGGTGAGAAAGAACAAACTTTAAGTACAATATAATCTTCTTGTTATATTTACAATTATTCTTTAGAAATACATTTATTAGATTAAATATAAATAAACTATGCTCAACACATTCTGTGCGTACTTTATGTACTTCATTTATGCAATAAAAAGGTAATACCTTTTCAAGAACTTGCATATGGGTCTGGTATAATAGAAGTTCTTTTGCATACAGTTGTAGTTTCAAGAATGCAAATTATATATATTTATGGATATTTAAAAATCAATTTACAAATTGTTGACGACTAACATAATACAAATAATATTTTATATAAAATAAAGTAATTTCTGGAAACGAATTTAAATGAAACGACATTCAATATACTCTTTAGCAACAGAAATAACCAGATATCTCTGCAAATCATTTTGTCATTCAAACCACTTTTCTATGTATCTCTAAAATTACTTTCCCCACCTTAGAGGCGAGAAAGGGTATCCAAATAATCAGCGATTTGATTTTGGGCTCTCCCAAAATCGTTGTTATTTGTTGTATTTTTTTTTTCCTCCTGTCGACGCTGCCATCGTCGTTTTTGCATTTATTTTGCGGCTAAAACTTTAATTGAGTTTTAAACCATTTTCCTGGTTGGCCTCCAGTCCCGCCTTCAACCCATCCCCATCCGGATTGTTTATGTGGTATTTTTTCCAGAGCACCGCCTGGCCGGGAATGGAGCTGGGAGCTGGGAGGTAGCCAATGGCCTGGACTGGCCCGTCCTGGTCCCAGTCTTTGAGTGATGAGTTTTCCTGTAAATGTTTTTCTTCTTATTTTGTGTGTTTCGTTGCTTTTCCTTGCAGCCTCTGTGGGAATCTGTGAAGCTTTCGATGCACTGCTCTGCCTACACTTTAATTTTTTCGGCATCTTTTGTTTGGATTTTTTTGGAGTTTTTGTTAGTTTCGGTTTTATGCTCGCTTTGCATTTTAAGTGCACAATGTTTTGTTATTTCCACGGCTCTCTGGGAATGCATCGTTGTGTATGAAAATAAACCGTAGGACAGTGGTACCTTACAGCCTAATATTGTTGGAAACATAGATATTGGCAGAGTGGATTTCCTTAAATTGGTCTCCAACTAAATACTTTGCAATGACACTTTCAAAAACCTACAGGAAAAAGGGGTGGAAAAATGTTATAAAAAGAGCTAAAAGAATACCAAACGAGTGTGCTATCATAATAATATAGTTACATTTGGCAAATGCCCTATTAATCATTGTTTTATTGCCGGCAAAACGATCTTGAATGTCCATTTGTTATCAGATACTTAAGGGCCAACCAGTATGCAAACCATTAGCGAATGCCGCAGCATTGCCACCGCATTTGCAACACCTTTATGCCACACACATGCACAGGCACACACACGCATGCACTTACACCTCTAATAAATATGGTATTAAATCCTTTTTAACAACAGGCAGCAGCGAGACAGCAAATACGGGACCACAGACCATCTATCATCATAAAAATAAACCGGACAGAGACCAACAGGAACGTGCTGTCTGCCCCTCTCGAGCAGCTATAAAACATTAAACATGGAATCGTAGTAGGATCGTGGCTGGGAGGAGACCAGGACTGCGACTGGGACTGGGACTGGGGATGGAACCGAGCACTGGTACACGGCGACGCAGGTACAGGGACGAAGGGTGCACGGTTAGCTCCCTTGGCCACAATCAACATCATTAACGCGTGCTCTAAAAGCCATTTATTTAGTGGCCAATGCAGACAGGCCGAGCCATGTTAAAAATTCTAAAGGGCCCGAGGCGACAGCACCGACCGAGTGTGGGAAACTATAAATTTAACGCTTTTAGCATAATTGCTGGCGCATGTGCGTGTCGGCCCAAAAGACGAATGGATGACGCTTAAGCGTTATGATAAGTGGCCGCCAAAGGATATAAGCGTCAACACTGGCGAACGCTAAGTTATGCCCTCCATCCGGCCATTACTCGTCCGAGTCGTCAGTCCCCAGTCCTTAGTCCTCATGTTGGTTTTCCTTTCCACTCATATTACTTGGTCCAGGATGGCAATTACCACCACCGCTCGCAAAGCCTCGTCTGCCTGACCTTTATCAAAATATTTTGCTGCTTAATAAGCTTGAGAGGGACTGAGACTGGGCTGATGTTGTTTAACCCTTTTAGGCCAACAAACACTTCAGAGGGAAGGAGCACTAACAGTGAATATTTATCGTTTGTCTAATCGAGGCAAATCAGGTCAGGTCAGGAGGACAGGGAAACGAGTTCAATGGGGCGTATGCGTGATTTATGCGTTTCACATCCGTCGTAATTGCTTCAAATATGCGTGAACACCCAATGAAAATTGACATCACTCAAAGAAGATGTATGTGAATAGGAATTACGTAGAAAGAAAATACATTTCTTAGCTCTGTGCAAAGGCAGTCGAGAAAAAAGAAATGACAGAATGGGCTTTGCAAATTCCTCCAAATGCTAAGCAGAGGCTGACACAAACCATCCCTTTAAGTAATGTTTTTTAGTAATCGTTCTGCTCTTGAGATCGTGGCTGATTACTGTTTCAATTACACTGAACAAAATAAATGAAAATTCTAAAGTTCTACTTCCGTTCTTTTTTAGCCTTGGAATTCTGTCTGTCATGTGCTCTCCTGCGCTCGACACTTTTTAATTGTTTTTGATAAGAGCGATTGCAAAGTTAAACTACATTTGCCATCAAGGCAGTCCGTGCTTTCGGTTGTCAACCGAGTGTTGCTACGCAGAAGGACGCCTGCCGATCCCTGAGTCCATTGTGATATGCGGATTTCGAGGAAAGCATAAGATATCCAGTCCCGAATGTGGCAAGGTAAGCGAATGTGGCATTGCTTTTACTTTTACTTACCTTGGTGGAGACCAGGCTGGACCTGCGCTCTGCCTGAGCCAACAAGTGAGCATCCTGAAAGACAAACACAATCCCATCCAGAGGCACGCGAATAGAAAAATGTCGTCTACGTTTGTTCCCCTTGACTCCCACTCCGGCTCTCTCCTTCGTGTTGACGCAGATTTAATTACAATGTTGGCGCTGCATTCACGTTTATGCCACTTGCCACTAGGGATCCTCAGCCTCCGTTGTTATTGCTGCATGTGCAAACAGCTCTCCGCCCGCCCGTCGGGGTCTGGCCGACATGGAGCTGCTGCTGCTGGGGGGAATTGGTGTTGGACTGGCTGCCTCCTGGCGTGGAATAGTAGCTGATGCTTTTGTTTAACAACAAATACTCAGAGCGCTGAGCAGCCCCACATATGGTCCTAGCACCGCTGCTCTCGCTCTGGTCTCTGGTCTCTCCTCGTCTGTTGCTACTTTTATGCACTTTTACAAATTGAATTTTCCACTTGCATACGTCCCCAGAATCGTTCCACACACAAAGGCCGTGTGCAAAACAAAGGGGGACCAAGGCGAGTAACGCTGCAGGATTCCCCCTTTGTTTCCGACACCTATTTTTGCAGGCCCTTTTTTATATGAACCTTAACTTTGGTTATTTTTTATGGGCGTTGTTTTCTACATGCTGAAAGGAGCTCCATCTTCTCGGTGGTTTTAATCCATTTAGTAGGCGTATTATTTGTAAACCCTCCTTTAATTTGTATGATCCTAATCAGAGCTACGAGCTCTGAATTTGTACGACTTAAACCGATGTAACCTTCTCCTTATTCAATAATAGTGAATACTTGAAACTCTAAACAAACCTTTGACAGATCCGATTCTATGTTTATACAATCGGTGAACAAACATATCGACTGTTTAAATATGCATTGCTGTAGGATGCTCTGTAGGAAAAATAAGACAAAATGTAGAACAAGTCGACAGACATGTCTTACATTTCACATGCCTCGTTCCACTACTAATTGTGTGGAAATTTCGCTCATTTCCACTCGACGGCTTTTCAATGGCAGCCGCAACAATTGCCACACAGCTGAGGCAGCAAAAACTGCAACCATTTCTATAAGCGTGCCGCAACAAAAAGACGAAAATCTGTTTGGCCTGGTTTTTCAGAAAATTCTGTGCATGTGCTACGCATTTCACTCTTGCTTTCCCTCATTGTGGGTTTGTGCTCTCGTTTTTCTCTTTTTTTTCTTCAGTTGTTTTGGTAAATTGTTGGATGAAAAACTGGAGGAGGGAGGGCCTTGTGTGTTCGGTCAGGTGCATAATCGGACGATGTTGGCCAAATGTCCATTAAAAATATCATTCTGATTTAAGTTTAAAGTGAGTAAAATAATGCTAAACTCTCTCATCAGGAGTATTCCTTTCTAGAGATGGCTCTCTGCCCCTTACAGTGGTGTCATTGAAAGGCTGATTTTGGTTTGTTTTTGTTTGCTTGTTTATTTTGCTGTAAACCTTTGCATACATTTACATACAAATATGTCACACAGATATGCCGCCACTTATCCACATAGATAGGTCTATAGATATATATGTATGTATATATAGTTATATTATGAGATATACCTAACTAAAGAGTTGTATATCGTTTCCCGTTTGCATCTTTAGTTTCGGCTGAGCTTCTTACGTAGGCTTAAATATTCATTCTGTTCAATTACATTTGAACATAAATCCTCTTTCCTTTGGGCTTCCCATGCTGTCCGGCTCTGGGGTTTGGTTTCTACATTTATATATTTATATTTATTTAATTTATTCAACATTTTAACATTCATTTCAACTTAAATACTTTAATGATTTGGATTTATTTACAAATGTTAAAGCGGAAAGTTTGTGTGGCAATTCTCGCTTAAATTTGAAGAGAGCTTGCTGGGTCTTAGGCATAACTAAATGGAGTCTGAATTTATACAAAAAGTTGCTCTCATATACTATATGTAAGTATGTACAGTGTCATGGAATGCATTTAATATCCATTAACGTTACTTTTTATTTAAATATTTACATTGAAAGTAGTAAAAAAAAGTGCACTAATTAAACTCCCATTAACATGAGCAACACCGAAAGTAGGCGGAAAAAATAGACAATTTTCAGGCAATACATTAGTTTTAATGGGTTTTTTATGTTGCTTCGAAAAATGTGAATTGAAACAAATCGAAAGCGATGAAAACCATATCTTTAGCAGCTGCCATTTTTCACGACAAACGACAAACAATTGGATAACTATTATATTTGGTTATATTTGTAGCATCAACCGTATATCTATTAAACGACTTAATTCAACACTTACATACACTTCTTTGCTATTCTGTGGCTTATTTATGTCGTTTTAAATTTTGGTTTTCTATATTTTATACGTTTGCTAAATTTACTAGGTAAATTCGCTATGTATGCTTATTTTATGCATAAATACTTTCATCTAAATGCAAATTTGATTAACCGTTTTTCACACATTTTTTTGGTTTCTGTTCTTGGACTATAATTAATTTATTTCCATCTAATTGGATCTATTTATGGTTTTTACATTACGCAACACATTTTTGTAGTCATTCAGCTCTGCCGCTTTTGTCCGTTTTGCCTGTTCATGTACATAAATGTTTTCCATTTTTTAATATTTGAATGATTACAGCAAGCCAAATGTTTGTATCGTCATTAAAGAATTAAAGACTTGAACATGGAAACTGAGAAAGAAAGATACAAATGTTCGGAGAGATATTTTCCTTAAATGATCTTTATTTATAAATCTTAAATCATTTCATTACCTATTGGTCATGCTGATGCTGATGGTAGGTATCAAGAAGTTAATCACAAAAACAACTAATTTTTAATTGAAGAACACAAATTGAGCTTGGGCCTTAATATTTTACCAACTAATCAGATACGGCTTGACCTTAATAATATTGATAAACAGATATACATACATATACGAGTATGTCTTTCAGACAGATGCTGTGAGCTGTTCTCTGCGCATCCCGATAATTACTTATCCGCAATTATACCCAGACACACTGAAAATGGAGTTGCAGTTTTTACTCAATCAATTGTCAATCAACTCAAAGCCCGTATGACATTCAACATGATTTTCATTTTACGCTCTAACATAAACATATCTATATCTAATGTATTTGTATTTGTATCTGTATCTGTATCTGCATCTGTATCTGTGTGTATGTATGTATACCACGAACTGCAGCTGTCAGTGCTGCCTTTTCCATTCCTTGTCTACGAGCTCACGTCCTTCCCTGCGTCCACGTCCACGTCCACGTCTTGCTGGTTTGATTTTATTTTTCAAGCTGCTCTTGTGCCCCAAATGAGTTTCTTTTTGCTTTTGCAATTATTTGATTTCATCTTGAAAACTTTCGAAGGCAGGGCATTGCAAATGTATTTGGCCTGGCTGCGGATGTGGCTGTTGTTGTTGTTGTTGCTGTTGGCTTTGTTGCTCTTGTCGCTGCGGCGTGTATGGCGACAACCTTATTACCAGCGCCTGCCCAAAATGTAAGCATTAAATGTTGCCTATGCGCCGTGCTAATAGAAAATGTGGCGATGTGGCGGCCGATAAAATGCAGCAGCATCGGGAGGAGCACAACAAAGCTGCCAGCCAATATTACTATGCAAATGAGCAGTGGCCATTGCCTTTGCCATTGCCTTTGCCACTGCCACTGCCTCTTCCACTGCCATTGCCGTTGGCATTTCGAATACTGCGTTGACGCAACACACGGCGTATGAGCAATGTGAAATATGCGCAATTGCCACGCCCAAAATGGTAGGCTGTTGATGGTGGTTGTGCTCCTGCTCCCGATGGTCGTGTTGCTGTTCGTGCTGCTCTCCCAGCAACCAGCTGCTGGCTCGCCGTTGACAACAGTCTCCTGTGTGTGCGGCTGGTTTTTCATATTACTCATACGCCACCGAGTCGGCGATGATAACGATAACGTCGACAGCCAGAGCGCCGCTGGCAAGGAACTCGATAAACGTTTGAAAATCCCCAATGATTGCGTTTTAATGCCGCGCATTATTTTACCAAGTAGATTATGCTGCGCCAGTGAGCCTGCAGAATTGTGAAATGCTCCAGGCGGATTACGCACGGGCGTTTGATTGTTATCGCCATTGTTCCCAGCATGGTTGCCTGACGAGAAAGAGAAAGAGAGAAGGAGAAGCAGACCATGTAGTAATCAGTTTTTTGGTTAGTCGGGTTTATATTTTCATTTATTTTGTGCGTTTGGCGAACACCAAACTGGCATTGGATACATTATCATCATGGGGACTGGGTCAGATGGGGGTTGGTATTGGATTCCAGGATAGGGAAGGATATGGGAAGGGGCTGTCTGGGTGGTATTAAAGAAAATTGCTCTTGACTGCCGGCAAGTATGCTGTGCACTTAATAGTTCTTCGTGTCCGTGTGTGCTCTGGTTTGGTTTGGTTTGGCTTTGTTTGGGGTTACTTTGCTGGTTAATTTATTGAATTCTCTTTCGCGATTGGTCCACTGACATTTGATGAAAGAGATTAGAAAGAGACTGATGACCCCGACTCAAAATGTCATTGGGCTATCTTTTGGGTTAGCTTTGTGGAATCTAAATTAATTTGACAACGATTACTTTGGGAATAAACATGGCTTATGGTCCTGCTGCGAGAAATACATATATGATTGATACTTATTCTAAGCTAGGCCGAACCAATCGCCCGATATTCTTCGATCCCTAACTCTGTTCAATGACTCAATTCTTTGTGGTTCACTTTGTTTTCTATGCTCACTCTCTAGTCTGACTCCCTTTGATATTTCACTCTTACAGTCACTTGGCAGGTGCAACAACCCAAGAAACACACCCCCTGCAGCCATATAGCGCCAGTCTCAATATTTCACGGCTATATTTATGGAGTTCACTTAGCGCCTCCAGCCCAGCTCGAGTAAGCTTGCTGACATCCCTCAGTTGTCCCTTTTCACGAGTCTTTCTTGTTTATATTTCCACAATTTTCCTCCGTTTTACAGCGTCATTGTACGTCTTTATATCGTCAAGGCATTGGTCGGGCATTTGGACAGCGATTACTTGACAATATTTCACCGGGCACCCCCGGCTGTGGCTCTGTCTGCGTCTTTTGACGTCTTTGGTCCCAGTCCCCTTACCCGTCCCCCACTTTCTCGGACTGATTGAGTGCTGTGGCTGCTTGTTTTTATGCACGTCATTGAACGCACTTTGTTGACCGCATGTCAATGTCTGATGAACGTGGTACCGTGGTCCAAGTGGGTCGAAATGGGGAACAAAAAGGAGACAATATTGAAACTGAAGCTGGGGCGAACGCGAAATTAAAAAATCACTCCCTAATTGCAGCAATCCATCATTATACTTCTGCGTTCCTAGTTCTCATATGCACCCTTTCCCGAGGATATTCCCACTGTGATGGAGTGTGGGGGGCTATTATAGATATTTTATCTGCTTTTAATCTTTTGGCATTTGGCTTTTCATCAGCTGGCCCCATAAATAACAACAAAGTGGGCTTTAAGAGCGCATTCCGTGGGCTCTGTTCTCCTGAATCGATTTTTATGTATGGTTATGGGGGGTGGCTGCTGTTGTTGCTTTCACAACAGTCAGAGTCATAAATATCAAGTGATAGATGGGCACATTGGGGGTCAGGACTATATATGGAGAGGACCTATTGCTGGCCGTGGGCCAAAATTGAAATTGAATTGTCTATAAATGAGGATGGGACTTTGAATCGAAATGTTCAAGGTTGAAATACATGAAACTCCCCATTCTAGGAACATTCTGTGAATCTATCTAAAAATGTGAGAGATACGGGGCTCAAGCAGCTCAGATGTCTGGCGGCTATCGGAAATCCCCAAAGTTTCGACCCACATATGTGATCAAACACCTCTGTGATTGATTTCTCAGGGACTGGGCCTGGGACAGACCCCATTCCTATTCCTGGTGCGCATTTGATTTATGTCAACGGCAAAACAAAGACAGATAGATTCGGTGAGGGGCGGTGGGAGCGGGAGGGGAGTCAAGTCAATGCCCGCATTTACGCTTGATTGAGAACACATTGAAAAGGTGTCAGAGCGACAGTCAGACAATTTTGATGGCATATTTCATTTGATGTCAAGCAATAAATATTTCCCTTTTGGGCATTCGCGGCTGTTCCCCTTTCCTTTTCGACACTCGTACCTTTTTTGATATTTTATTTATAAGCCGCGACGATTCGTTGAGAAATCAACGTCAGAACTGCCAATCGACAATCAATCAAAAAAGCATTTCCCATTGGGATTTTGTGGTACATTTGGTGCAGCCTTTGTTTTGAATGCGATCCGTTTAAATAAAATATGGAATGCCAAAGCTGTTTGATTTGCTCTCTTTTCTTTTGGCGGGGCACTGTAATCAATATTTATTGTGCGAATATTTCAAAATTCTGGGGAATATTTGCATTTGAAATGGGGAAACAAACCCAAAAGAAAACAAAATTAATGTGAGAATGTGAGAAACTTTAAAGTTATTCGTCTTAAATATTTTCTAACATTTTGTGGTGCAGATTTAACATTAGTTAAGTATTTTTCAAGTCGGAAAACCACTTGGCCAGAACCTTAATGAACAGCATTTTTCCATCCCCTAATTGCATTCTTTTCCACTTCTGCATCTCCGCCTAAGTCTCTTCATTAAACTGCCCCCTCTTCCCCAGGGCAAACATGGAAGCATGGGCCACCAAACTCCAATGTTGAATCAATAAAGTCAACGGCCCACTATAAGAAAAGCCTTTTCCACTCGACCCCGCAGTGCCACCCACCCCTACTTCCACCCATTTTCACTCCCCTCCATAGCTGCCTCCACCATGAACAGGCATTTTATCTGTTTTTTCCGCATTCTTCTTTTTTTCTGCTTTTCGGGCACTTGCAATGCACGAATGCCTCCAGAGCCAGAGCCAGAGCCAGCGCCAGCGCCAGAGACAGAGCCCCAGACAGGGCCAGATCGAAGCAGAGGAGAGCTGAGGAGACAGGGGAAAGCCGAGCCATCATTTCGCCCCCGCTGGAGCATTTTGGCTTCAGTTCATTAGTGCAGTCGGTTGAACGGCATTTTACGGACGCGTGCCTTAAATAATTGCATTTTAAATGCAATAAACACAGACAAAAACACAGCCATTACAGAGGACCCAGAACCAGAAAAAGGAAACCAAAATATTTCTGGTTGCTGATTCAATACGGATTAATTCAGCCTAAGAGCATGTAGCAGAAAATTTGAAAAGCCAATGTTCATGGTTAATTTGCTGCCTGTGGTCGGGAGCCCAGCCACGAACTTTGGGACGTATGGGAATTTGGGACGTATCGGCATCCGGACAGAGTTTAGCCGCCACATTTGACAAACCATAAAGTGCATGCAACAGGACACGTGTCCCACCCAAATGTTGGGACGTGGACGAACAGACTTGGTCATTGACATCGACAGAATGTCAGTGTCAATCAACATTGTCGCTAGTTGCTATTGCTGTACTCGAGTTGATATTGTTGCTGCTCCTGCTCCTGCTGTGGCACTCGCCACCCGATGGCATTTTTATTGCTGCAATATTTATCCGACTGGCAACAAAAGGGATCAACAGATCAACACAGACCAAAGGGACACACAACGCTGATGCATTCAGCCACAGAACATGACAAATGCAACGCTCCAAATGTCTAACATCCATTCGAACTCGAATTGGAACTGGAAATGGAATAAAATACAAATAAATTTCTTTTTCGTTATTTGTATGTTTTTTTTTCAAGTTTTTTCTCTCTTCTTTTTGGTTTGCTCTGGCCGTGTGGTTGGTAGAATTTGTTGCGGCTTTTAGGAATTTGCAATGTTGGATTTATTAAATTTATATCGAGTTGAAAAATGATCTTAAACGACTCGCAATGTGTTTTGGCCTCTATAGGAGCATTTATTGAATGGAAAAAATGGGATTCAAATAAAAACTAATGCTTAGTTTACACTAGAGATATTTTTCAATAAATACACAGAGTATTGACCAAAAGTCATTTAAAAAGTCAAAGCCCTTTGATATGTTATCTTAGCGAAGGTAGAATATTTAGATTGGGCTTTTAGGACGCTGAGCACTATGGTATTCCAATGATAAATATGACTACATTTCCTCTCCAAAGTTCATTCATACCCCATTTTCTCCCCTACTCGCACTTTTCCATGTTTTCAAATTTCGTGTTATTTCTTAACCAAAGTTCTTTCGCTATAATTCCCATTTATTGCCTTTTCCGTCCGTGCTTATGGCACTTCATAAATCCAAGATGCCAGCAACGCCAGCGCCCTCCTGCAGCAATGAAATGCATTTTGTATTTGAATGAATGAAAATAACAGCGAAGCCACCACCGACTGCAAGCGTCATTCCGCACAGAATGCGGAAAATTTAATTAATTCTTAGCGTTTGGGCTAAACACTTCGCCAAACAAGGCAGCGGAAATTTTTGCCGTGGAAGTTTTCGGCCACTGTGGTAGAGGAAAAGGCGCCAAAGAACATTGAAATTATGAGATCACACGGCGACGGACCTGAAATCCATGAAAGGAAAATACAACACGCAGACTCAAAGAAGGGGAAACTTTGCCCTGGCCCTGGCCCTGGCAAGATGCAAGTTGTGAAGGCAAAGAAACAAGTGCAGTACGGACCATAAATGCCACTAAGACTGGGATACCCACGGGTAGATGGACAAGTATGTTGGGGGTTAGGGTTATGGGGTTATGGGGGTATGGAAGGGAGAGCTTGTACTTACCTTGTGCACCGTCACGCCACTCCTCAACCCCATAATCAGGCAAAGCGTTAGCCGCGTCAAATTTATTTCTATGACGTCTCTTGCCATCTTTATATTTTGTATATATTTTTAATTTTATGCAGCAAGCGTCAGTCAAGGAGGAGATATACAGAGACAGAGAGAGAGATAGAGAGTTCAGGGAGAGTTCGGGATAACACGGTACATGAATAATGATGGTTGTTGTCGGTTGTTTTTGGTTGTTGGTTTGTTGGTTTGTTGGTTGTTGGTTGGAGCAGGGCATAACATGAAAGAAATATTCAAATGGAGGGAAGTTTTCAGAAATAAGGAACAGAGAAAGCATATAAAAATGAATTTATATATATGTATACACACACACACACAGATGCTAAGGGTAATTGTATGCTAAGGTATTTTTATTTAATTTCTGCATTTATTTGCATTTAATAGCACACTGAAGAGGCAACAAAAAACCCAAAGGGGCACAACGGAAAACGGAACCAACAAAAGGTAAAAACGGACACAGAAATTGCATGCAACTTTGACTTGATGGAGTGGATAACGAGGATGAGGTGTGTGGAGTGTGGAAGTATGAGAGTAACGGTGTGGTGTTGTGCGGTTTGAGGGTGGTTTCATCCATTTTTCGGTTGTTTGTGTTGATTACAGTCATTGTGCCAAATGGGCCTCCTATCGCTTTCAAACTGCCATAGACAGTTCTTAAGTGAAAACTCGATTTAAATTCAAAGCAATGTATCAGGAGTCAGAACAGAGGTCTTTCAGATGATGATCTAAATGATGTGGTTTTACGAATTATTAGAAGTATTTTTTTTCAACGGGCAAACATGAGTTCCGATATGGTCTGAATGATCGAAATGACGGCGTGTTTGTGTGGAACATTATACGTTGGTGCTGACTATGATTTTGTGCTTTGCAGTGCATAAAATTAAAAACTCATTATTTCATTATACATATGTACATATACATATGTAACTCATGACCAAGCAGAAAATGTATGCTGTGATGCTGATGCTCATGGCTGATATTCAATCAATTACGGAGTTGAGAAAACGGTTCTGAGCTGGATGCATAATGCAGCGAGTATATACGAGTATGATTCATTAGGGCTGTGCTGGTTACACATACGATGATGTACGATCGAATGTGTAAAACAGCTCAAAATTACCCTAATTATATTGAATGCACTTGACGTTTATTAACTAAATTGAATCTCACCATAGCTGCGATTCAGCATGGCCATCTCGGAAATAATAGCCGTTGTTGGTGTGGGCATTTCTGTAAATTAAAAACAATCATTTAATTTTTGTTTAATTAGAGCTATAGTACAATTTCACAAATCAAATTTTCCTTTGCATTTTCCGTTTCTTTTGAACACTTTAAACAACATATTGAACCAAATTTCGTATGCAATGTCATGTAAAATGGTTGCACAAAAGAAAATAAAATACAATTGAATTGAAATAAATATAGTTTCTCTTACCATCCAGCTTGATGTTGCCATCGGTCTCGCCCAGGGAGTTTTTCGCCACGCAGCGATAGGTGCCAAAATCGTTGGGTCCGACGGCGCGGATTTTTAACTTCATGTATTTCGTGTAACCGCTGACTGTGGATGTGGTCTCGTATTTATCGCCGGCCCGCGATGTGTCTGAAAATATGCGAAATGCTGAAAATTCAAGCTGTCAGTCTGTAAACGGAGTGTGTGCCACAAATTAAAGTGACAATTTTTCTGCAACGCCAAGAGCAGCTCCGAAAATCTGTATGGCAAAAAATCAATTAATTAATGTCACCTGCATGGACTGGCTGACGACTAGCTGTTGTTGCGAGTCCTGCTTATGTGCAGTGAAGCGGAGCGCGTTCTCAGCAGAGACTCCAACTAATTACGCCTCTTCCTTGGGACCCCCTGTGCTGGGTACTGGGTGTATGTGTAATTAAAACTGGCGCAGTTCTTCAACCATTTCCATTGCCATCGCCATCGCCAACTAAAACTTTTCTCATTAATCAGTGAAAATCTAAAAGAAAACTTTTGTTCTCTCTGCCGGCATTCCGACTGCGGCTTTAATTTCGTTTCGTTTCATTCCGTATTGTGCTGCCTACTTTCTGGGGCTGGAGCTGGGACTGGAGCTGGGGCTGGGACTGGGACTACGACTACTGCTACGACTACGATATCAAATGGCTGCCAGTAAGTAGCATTAAATATATAAACTTAATTTCACTTTGATTGTTTGGCGCATTGTAAGGCGATATCGCATGTTACTCATACGTCATGTTGTCCTTTGTCTGTTCACGTGCTGGTATGTGTGTTTGTGTGTGATGTGACAAATGTCTTTAGTTTTTCATGCTTTCTTTTTCCTGTGTTTTTTCGGGAGCCTTAAACAATATGAGGAAACAATTTTCCATGTAGCGTTCCACATGCATGTGAGCCGCACTCGCGACTTCTTTTTATAGCCCCAGTCACCTTTTGTGATACTTTTTCTTCCTCACCCTCACCCCCACCCCACCCAAGCCCACCTCCATATTTCTTACTACCTCCGTACGAGTGTAGTCGGAAGTCCGTCTCTGACACGCAAATATATAATTTTACTCATAATCATCGGCAGGAAAGAACTGCTTTCTTTCGACCTGCTGGGTTGCCTTGTCTTCCACAAAACTTTATACTTTTAATACCTGGCCGCATTAAATGAAAGTTTCGGTTTCTCGAACAGCTTGTAGAATTGCTGTCCTGCCGACTGCCATATATACTACCTGTGATGTGATGCATGGCATGTGCGGCGGACATCCGAGCGAGGGAAGTTTTAAAAAATATTTGCGCTAGATTTCTAACAATTCCTGATATTCTGAAAATTACTTAGTTCTTCTGCAATTGAATGAATGTCTTAGCAGTGACACAAATTTTTAATAAACAACTTAATTTTATATAACATTTTACAAGATGTAAAATATGAAGATCCCATGTGGAAGGGGAATGAACAAACGCTCTCGAGCTATCTTTGATCTCATTGATCATTTCATCTACCTTGCCTACCATGTCTCCATGTCTTTGCCAATCCTTAGAAGTTTCCCTATACTTCTCTAGCTGCTCTCTATCACCAGGTAGTCGTATAAGACTCTCTGCAAAAGCGCTTAAAATTTATTACCCCAAACTTTTGGTGTCTGTTAGCCATACATCATGGCCGCCATGGGGCTTTCATACTCATATCTCAGTTCGCATTTCGCCTCATTCGCCTCGCCTTGTCCTGTCGCCTTCGCCCGTGCGTGTGTGCATACGAAATGTCATATTCTTGGCTCAGTTTTTTCCTACCTATGATATCCAAGGCCTGGTCATAATTTGGCATTTGAGTTGTGTATGTGCCAAAGCCTATCTCTGCCTTTCTTATCGAACAAACAAAGTGACATTTGAGCATAAAAGGGAACCGAATGGCAGTCCATCAAAGGCGCATCTATATTTAGGGCAATATTTATGCATACTCGTATGAGCGACTATCGATGAGTCGTGACTCATGAAGGGGGGATTACATTGGATTGGATTGGATTGGATTTTGAGGCTTATTACAGCACAAGTTCCAAGTACTACCCACAAATACCAATCTGTTCGAGGGCCGGGATAAAAGGGTGATTCGTAAAAGTGGGCCCAAAAAGTATGCCGTTCTGACAATTTACAAAATCACAGAGAAACGAGGGGGTACCGTCGGTCCCTTGACGGGGGAGGCCACACAATGGTAATTATTTTCCATTTCAATATGACTGCGTTGCATGGGAATTATGCGCTGCGGCATCGAACGCATGATGGTGCATGCTTTTAGGCGCTTTACGCCTGTACGCGCTTTTCCCCGCCTGTGGCTTTTCGGCTGCCCTACCACGCCTCTCTCTCTCTCTCTCCCTGTGTGTTTATGTGTATGGATGATTATGCTAAAATAATTTCCGCTACAAAATAATATTTTCTGACATTTTCCATTCCGCTATATTCAATTCTCGTCTCGACTCGGTTTGTGCGCGTGCAATTTTGTTTATATCATTTTCACTTTGTCAATTCTGCAGAGCATCAGCGCAAAAATGTTGTTTATTAGTTTTGATTATTTCAATGTTGATAATATTTCATTTGCATTGCATTCTGTGCTGTGCTGTGTTCTGTGAGCTCTGAGGTTAATTAAAAACATTGTGTTTTCTGCATGCCTGCAGCTCCACTAATTCAATCAAATCCAAATTATTCGAATTCAGGCGCCTATTTAAAAGTGAATTCCGCCACAGAATATGGTTTCATAAGCACCACATGCAGAAAAGAACCAATGTTATGGGATTTTAATTTTTCATTTCGAATTTAAATTGTAAATGGAAAAACATAGAAATCTAATTGGCAGCTCGAATGATTCTGACTCGCTTTGAATCGCTTTGGAAGGTAAGAAAAATTTAGCAAAAACGTATAACTTTGCTCCATTAAATTGTTCTTAATTTAAACCATTTGCGGATGATGCACCATGAATGGAATCCGTAGGGATATTTTGATCTCTTGTTGCTGTCTCCTTGCTGACACTGACATTGACAGTCCTTGACTTGAGTTTCGGCTTTTCGTGTTGCTCTCAACCTTATGTACTGACCGTTGCCAGCCAGGCGATACATGAGAGAAAGCTGTTAAAACCTCACACAATAAAAGCGAAGGACTCGGGAGTCAAAGGAAGCACAATCCGCAATTCCACAAGGTCTCTGGATGAGTATAAATGTGTGCTTTAAGCCTGTCACACAGTGCGTATGAGCAACGCATTTTACGGCGAACAACCGCTGCAGCGGCAGAGACAGAGCCAGTGAGAGAGAATTCGAGCGTGAAACAATAAAAAAGGCTGCCACGTCAACATGGAACATGCAACATGCAACATGCACATTCCCAACATCGACTTTACTCGACGCGACTCCTACGCAACTGCAGCGCAGGAGCAGCAGGAGCTCAACTCGGGTTTTTACATTCCCTGCTGATGGGACTTTTAATTTTGTTTTCTTTTTTTGCATTTCGCATGACAATTTTCTGCTCGGAAAGCTGGGACCAGAGATATTCAGAGGCGTCGGTCTGCATGTTGATTACATTGTAAGCTCATTTACAAACGCTTTTCAGATAATAAACGTAGTCAGTGGCCAACCCCCTGCTAGGTCCATGTTCGACTCCTTTATTGCATTTTATTACCGCCCATCAGTCGCGATGTGGCAGTTGCAGTGCCAGTGGCATATGCATGTCCTGCCATCCTGCTTGTGGGGCAGGGACATAACTCACCCGATATGATCATGTCGCCACGCTCCGTCGTCCAGTAGTTGATCGATGCCGGATAGGCCTCCGTGTGGCACTCCAGTATGACATCTTGGCCGACATAGGCGCCCTCAAGCTGATTGGGTATGGAGAGCATGGGCGGAACTGTGAAAAGAGATGGATATCAAGATGAATTTTTGACAATAATAACCTTACTCGTAGGTACATATGTATGGTATTGAAAGCGGCTCGTAATATCCCTTTCAATTACCTTTAGCTCGAATCCAATATCCTGCCACACGGGAGCCTTATCGGTTGCCCTCCACTCCAATATTGTTTTCTTTCCCTCACACCAACATCCCCATACCCACCCCTCAACCATTCCCAAACACATACCCAAAACCCACTCACATCGCCATTAGCAGCACCCAGCACACATCACTGACTTTTCATCAACTCTCCAGCCACTCCCCAGTTTTGGCTGATAAATTTTGCATTGCATTTTACGTGAGTTTACAAACTGTTTTTGGATTAAAATGCACTCAGTCATTAAAAGCACGCCTGAGAGCGAGTGATTGTGCCTCGGACACGGAAACGAACGGCGACTCTGTATGGATGTGGATGTGGATGTGGCTGTGGCTGTATGTGGGTGTGGGTGCGTAAATAGCTTTCGTTGCTACGTGGGTGTGGGTGTGCGTGTGCGTGTGCGGTAGTAACAACAAAAGCTGGTACGTGAATGGTGAACGCATTTTGGCCACGCACACATCACGAGGGCACAAAATAACACCTGCTGACAAACAGACAAACAAACGCCTGCAAACAACTCGAAATGAGCGCAGTGCATCAGCACAACGATGCCAGCGATGGCAGCGTGACTCACGAAGGATTCTGGAAATTATTAAGCGAACAAAACTATCTACAACGATCTGGGATTAGGATAATCATTCATTTGTTAAGTAGCTTCGATTCCGATACCCAATGTACGAATATCAGCATTCAGTGTATCCTCATTAGTAACGATGTGTAGTTCGGTCGTTTATAATCTACTTTCAAAGCCTACTCTAGGCTTTGTTTGTTGGAAGTTTCTGTGTGGTGTGCCTTGGAGCTGGTTTTTGTGGAGAGCCCATCTTTAGCACGCACTGTCTACGTGATGCACGCACGAACTAACTCTCACAGGTAAATTAATTTAACGGGACTGCAGCTTTTGGTCGATTTTCGGCCAAGAGCAAGAGCGTGGACCGAAACCTCCACTGTGCCAGCCCACACTCATCTGCCCCGTACACCTCTGTTTTGTATGCCAATGTTGGGGACGAAGTGCGGTTATTGCCCCAAAAAGTGCAGTGGCAACATGCGATGGGGCACAGGGAACACAGGCACGGCCAACCCCAGCCTTGTTTTGTGTATTTTACGCATTATACAGAGCCCTCTGCCCGTCCCCACCGACCACACTGGCGAACGTTTCCTTTTAGCTCATCCTCCTGGCCCTACTCCTTTCTCCCCCTGCACGGACCATAAATATTGCATAAGAGTTGAGCCCAAAATGGATTTTTCGTTATTTTTGGCGTTTCCGGAGTACGTTGCCCAGCTACAAAAAGAAACAATGGAAATGCTGATGCATGGAACTGGTTAAAAGTGTTAAATTGGTTACGTTAAGAGCTATCATACTGTATCTATAGGTGGACGCTTAATAATTTATTGTAAAGCCCTGTGGCTCTTCATCATCAAGGGGAAATTAAGTGATCTGCAGCAAACAGATTGGGCAAATGAATCACAGCCCAAACGGATAGGACCTAAGATTAACGAAATATAATTAACTTTTGATCGTACAAATGTATATGATTGTTTTTAATCGATTGTTTTTTAGCAGGTTAATTGGCGGAACTGTTCGTTCACACCCACGGAATATAATGTTAGCCACCCCCATTCATACGCCGCCGGTTCAAACGCTGGGCTTCAGCTTGGAGACTCGTAAGTAAATCAGTATAAAATTGTGGATGAATTTTAATATATGTATCTTCCTTCACAGAGGACTTATGTACCCTACGATTTGCCACAAATCGTATCCGATTTCCCCCCGCCAGTCGGAGGCCTATCAAAGAATAACCGAGGCGTAATCGAGGCAGACCGAGTCCTATACCAGCCAGAAAGAATCGTATCCCAGCAGGACAGAAGTGCATCCCTAGCACGAACCTTACCAAGCCATCGTCATCCTTCAACCTGGCCAAGGACAGCAAGGACTTTGACTATAACAACCAAGGGAGGAGCTACGCTCTCCAATAGTCTTAAGATAGATATCGTTGTTGATATGTTTAAGGATATAAGCGCCCATATATTTATATAGTATACATAAATGTTTTCAACCTTTTTATTTGCTTATATTAATGTTTAATGTATGATTGTTTTTAATCGATTGATTTTAAGCAGGTTAATTGGCGGAACTGTTCGTTCACACCCACGGAATATAATGTTCGCAACCCCCCATTCATACGCCGCCGGTTCAAACGCTGGGCTTCAGCTTGGAGACTCGTAAGTAAATCAGTATAAAATTGTGGATGAATTTTAATATATGTATCTTCCTTCACAGAGGACTTATGTGCCCTACGATTTGCCACAAATCGAGTCGTATCCGATTTCCACCCGCCAATCGGAGTCCTATCAAAGAATAACCGAGGCGTAATCGAGACAGACCGAGTCCTATACCAGCCAGAAAGAATCGTATCCCAGCAGGACAGAAGTGCATCCCTAGCACGAACCTAACCAAGCCATCGTCATCCTTCAACCTGGCCAAGGACAGCAGGGACTTTGACTATAACAACCAAGGGAGGAGCGACGCTCTCTACTAGTCTTAAGATAGATATCGTTGTTGATAAGTTTAAGGATATAAGCGATCATACATAAATGTTTTCAACCTTTTTATTTGCTTATATTAAGTTAAGTTATGATAAATAAAAATATTGAAAAATAATCCTTACTGTATCAGTGTCCTGTATTTTTTTTGGAAAAATGTCCTTGATCCTTGATAAGGACTCCATTAAATCAGGGACATTTTTCCAATCACAGGAAGCCATCGCACGTCCGGATCGGGCCGCAAATAGCCGAGAAAACTAAATATGGATGGTGCGTGTTTTTGGAGTCCTTACCAAAGGATCAAGGATATTTTTCTGATCACGAGGGGGCAGGGCACGCCCCGATCGGTCCACTAATAACGGAGAAAACAAGATATATATGTCTGAAGTAAACATCCTTGATCCTTGGTCCTTGATAAGGACTCCATAAAATCAGGGACATTTTTCCGAACACAGGAAGCCGTTGCAAGTCCTAATCGGGCTACAAAAAAGAGAGAAAACAAGATATATATATCTCGAGAAATTATCCTTGATCCTTGGTCCTTACAAAGGACTCCATCAAATCAGGGACATTTTTCCGATCACAGGAAGCCGTCGCATGCCCAAATCGGCCCACAAAGAGCGGAGAAAATTAATATTTTTGATCCCGGATATCCTTGGTCCTTGAAAAGGACTTCGAAAAATCAGGGACATTTTTCCGATCACAGGAAGCCGTCGCACGCCCAAATCGGCCCACAAATACCGGAGAAAACGGCCAAAATCTGAATGGGATACCAGGCGAACAGAAATCAGCAGCAAGCAACTGCAGCCAATGCAAAAAAAAATTGTTGCATACTTTTGGGGGACCGTAAATTTTTTTAAAAAAAATTCAGTTACCTTCTGCTGATTTATGTTCGCCTGGTATCCCATCCAGATTTTGGCCATTTGACGCGAGGTTTTTCTCGTTGTACGGTGGCGCCCCTATCGGAGATTTCTTGAACTACATTTTCAAAGCCAATTTTCTTTTCTCCGTTATTTGTAGCCCGATCAGGACATGCGACGGCTTCCTGTGTTCGGAAAAGTGTCCCTGATTTGATGGAGCCCTTATCAAGGACCAAGGATCAAGGATATTTACTCCAGACATATAAATGTTGTTTTCTCCGTTATTTGTAGCCCGATCAGGACATGCGACGGCTTCCAATGTTCGGAAAAGTGTCCCTGATTTGATGGAGTCCTTATCAAGGATTAAGGATCAAGGATGTTAACTCCAGACCTACATATCTTGTTTTCTCCCTCATTTGTGGCCCGATCGGGACGTGCCATGGCCCCCCGTAATCAGAAAAATATCCTTGATCCTTCGGTAAGGACTCTAAAAGCCCCGACCATACATAATTAGTTTTCTCGGCTATTTGCGGCCCGATCGGGACGTGCGACGGCTTCTTGTGATTGGAAAAATCTTCCTGACTTAGCGTCCTTATCAAGGACCAAGGATCAAGGATATTTTCTCCAGACACATATATATAACTTTTTTTCCTTTTTTGTCGCCCGATCTGGGCGTGCCATGGCCCCCCGTGATCAGAAATATATCCTAGATCCTTCAGAAAGGACTCTAACAACCCCTACCAACCATATTTCGTTTTCTCGGCTATTTGTGGGCCGATCTGGGCGTGCGATAGCTTCCTGTGATCGAAAAATGTCCTTGATTTGATGGAGTCCTTATCAATGATCAAGGATATTTTCCGCAAACAAACATTTTTAGTTTTCTCCGCATTTCGTGAACCGATCAGGATGTGCCACGCCTTTTCATAATCTGGATATTTTCCCCGATACAGGATACAGCAAGGATGATTTTTCAATAGTTTTATTCATCGAATCTTAGCTTATATGGACTTAAATATAAATCTTAAATATATGGACGCCTATATCCTTAATCCTACCATAAACTAAATCTATTTAGAGTCTAGTAGCCCGCGTAGGCCCTCCCTTGGTTGCCATAGTCAAAGTCCTTGTTGTTCATGGCCAGGTTAAAGGATGACGATGGCTTGTTTGTTTCGGACCTTGCAAGGAATATGCTAGTTTCCTGCTGGGATACGATTGTGTCTGACTGGGATAGGACTCGGTCTGTCTCGAATACGCCTCGGTAATGCTTGGATAGGACTCCGGCTGGTGGGGGAAAATCGGATACTACTCGGTTTGTGGCTAAGCGAAGGGTACGTAAGTCCTCTGTGAAGGAAGCTATAGTTTAAACATATCCACAATTATATATTGCTTCAATTATGCGTCTAGAAGTTAAAGATCAGCGTTCCGTTCGGCGGCGTGTGTATGGTTACTGAAATTCCGCCAAACAAACGAAACTGGCATCGGAAGCATATACAATATAACGGTTTTCCTCAAAATGTGGGGCAACAGATTATCCATAGAATTAAGAAAACGATACATTATACGACGCCCAATCAAGGTATCTATCAATTAACAATATGACAGCCTACGAAAGCTTAGTATTTAAGAGATGCTGACACTTCAAACAAAACATTCGAATCGCCAAATAAATAAGTTATGTATAAGTGTAGAGGAAGATCAAAAGTCACCAAAGAAGCTTGTTTTTTGTTAATGTAAAATTTGTTTTTGTTTCTCTATCGTTATTAGTTTACCCATGCTGTCAAATGAATTTTTTTTAGTTAATGTATTAAATGGAAGTATTCCTTGCAGAGGAATCGGTCAAAAAAAGGTTGGTTTACTAGTTACTACGGCTACGGACATTTACTCACATTGCACTCGCAGGTGGACCCGCTTGCTAATCGAGGGCGGCACTCCGTTGGATGCAACGCACAGATATGCGGCCATGTGGAGGCGGCTCACCTTGGTGATGTGCAGCAGCTCGCCATCGACCACGTTCACTGTGGAGCAAGGTAAAAGGAAACCGCATTAAGCCATGGCCGGTTGGAATGCGGCAGGATGCTAGGGCTCACCGTGCTCCCCGCCAATTAGCATCTCCTCGCCGTCCTCGCGGCGCCACATAACATAGGGTTCGGGGTAGCCGCGTGCCTTGCACATCAGCGAGACATTCTGCCCCTCGCGCACCACCATGTCGTTGCTGGTCATGCCCTCGACAATCATTGGGGGAACTAGAGGAGAGGGAAAGAGCAACCAATCGGTCATGCAGGGGGTCAATTGCCATCGACCCGGGAGAGTTTAATACTTACCCACCACCTGGAGATAGCCCTTCCTGGAACGCATGGGATCCTGTGAAAGGGTGAAAGCGTGAAAGTGTGAAAGGGGGTTTTTATAAGCTTATTTAATTTATCAACGAGGGAGACCTACTTACCGTGTTGACCTGGCACATGTACCAGCCGCGATCCGTTTCCTCCACCTCCTTGATGTGCAGGTACCACTACGGGAGGGACCATCTTCAGTTGGGACACGAGTAGATGGGGAAAATGGGAGAAGAACTACTCACCGATCGATGGTCGTTGTAGGTGAGGCTAATGCGGCTGTTCTGCGATATGACATTGTGGTGTATGGACAGGATCGTCTGGGTGTCCACACGCACCCAGGCCACCTTGTAGCCCTTGAGGTTCTCCACGACACAGGCCAGCAGGGCGTCGCGGCCAATCGAGACGGTGACATTGGCAATGGGCTCGGCGAATCGCGGAAAGTCCGCGTCTGCAAATATAAGGGAAATGTACACGTATTCACTCATAGAGATGCCACCCATGGGTACGCAGATTCCCGCTCAGCTCAGCTCAACTCGGCTCAGCGCAGCGAAGCAGGATTCATTTAATTTGCTTAAAAGTTTCCTGCCACATTGCACTGAGGACGAGGGCAAGCACCCCGCACAAGGCCCGGGGGCGAAAAGAAAAAAGTGCACACATATTTTCCAGCTTATACTTTGACATTCACTGGGTTCCGCTTGAGAACCCTTTCTCCTCCCACTCCCTTCACCGAGTTCCGTACTGCAGTGCGGCACATTGCGCATACGCCCCGTATGCCCCGTATGCCATTTCCCATGTGCGACGACCCCAATGAAGCGGCGACAGAGGAGAAACGAGTCACCATATTAATTACCTTCCTGTGCCGTCTGCTGGGTATCCAGACGCGTGTGTTTGCCTGCAATGGAAAAGGAAAGGAAAGGAACGGCAGGGAAGGAGCCGAGTTAGAGCATTTAATTAATTTAATTTCACTGCCGGCAGTTGTCCGGCAAAATAATTTAATTGGTGAAACACTTTTGGCCGTCCGTTTCATATGGGCAATAAATAAAAATTAATTAGCCAAGCTAGAAACTTGGACGGGGACAAGGAATTTTCTGGTCGCATGCCCGACTGCCCGGCTGCCCGGCTGCCGAGCTGCAGGTTTCCGCTTCCGCTTCTGGTTCTGGCTGTCGTCATGTTTTGCTGATATGGCAGAAATTCCCGCTGTGCTTTCAGTTTTGGTTTTTGTTATTTTTAGTTGCATTTATTCCATTCATTTTATGACAAAAGTTCAAGTTTAATTGTTTTTGGCTGCGTTGGCACTTTTCCTCTAGCTGCAGCGCAAACTTTTCCTGTTTTTCCTGCCAGAAAAGTTGCAATACGAAAAAGGTGAAAGGCGCGCTGAGCAGGAGGAGTGGCTGGAAAATACTCGTAGTGCCACAGCGGATATTTTCAATAAAAAAGTTTCAGGACACCTCTGTGCAATGTTGGTTCGAATATTTGCACCTTCAAATAATTTTATACCCACTCGTAATGCATTAAAATGGTTTCCGTTGCCCCTGCCTTTGCCTGAAAGTTAATTTTGTTCCCTTTCGCTTTACTACTCTTTCACTTTGTCTCTGGACAGGCAGTCAGTGCCAATATTCGTTATAGCGCTGGACACACAGACAAATCCTTTAGCTTCATCATCGTCCTCTCCGCGACAGACACTTTACAAATGAGTTCCACGAGCATTTAAGAAATTTGAGTTAGCAGCAAATCGCATTCGCTTCGGAGAGGGGAGGAGGGGAGAGCGTTTCAAACGCTCTCCTGTCCGTAAAATAAAACTGGGTAAATTGAAAAACGCTTAAGCATTTTTACAGCTTTTAACACGGCGCCGCATATTGAATTACGGTCCCTCTCCAATGCCGGTGCCAGTGCCGGTGCCATTGCCAGTGCCTGCTCTTCCTTTGCAGCTGGACAACTGGAAAAGTTGCTTGCCACAGCTCTCTGCTGCCTGCTGCCTGCTGACTGCTCTCTGTTGCCTGTTTCTTTTCCTCCTCCTCCTGTTGTATGCTTCTGCTGCCACTTTTCTACTTCACTTCACTTCTCCCACCCTGGTCCTGTCGTGTCCTGGAGCAGCTGCTGTTTATGCCTTTTCAGCTACGAAAAAATGCTCAACACGATTTTCGCTGTTGATTTACGTTTTAGCACGTTTTTCGTCTAGTTTAGCTGGACGTTTTTTTTCCTTCCCTTTTCCTTCCCTTTTCCTTCCCTTTTTGGTAAGGTCTTTGGTCTCTTTCAATTTCAGCGGACAGGTTGCATTCTGCCGCTTTTTGCCATTTAAATGTTTGTACTTTTTTATGTTCTGCAATTTAATGAGCAGCTTTTCACCGTCGCCCAGATTTGTCTGTGAGTCCCACACCCTTACCAGCCGCCAGGACACCAGCTGGCCGGCCTGTCAACTTATCCGTTCTGCCACACTTACACCCCCTCCCAATAAAATATGGTCAATTTAACTCTGTTCCTCCGTTTTTCAATTGATATTTCAGTCGAGTGTCTTTTTTTGATTCGCTTTTTTTCTGCCGCTTGTGTCAACATGGCTCACATGACTTCCAGTCCCCGACTCACGGGGCTCGACTCACGGTGCTCGACTCTCGACGCTTGACTCTCGGCACCTGGCAATCAGTCAGAGTTCCATTCAGGAACTGCTGCTGAAAATTCTGTTTGGCCTGCCTAAGCAAAGGGCCCTGGCCGGCCCTCACCTGCTGCCGGCCTGGTCTTTATGCAAACGCAGCTGACCATTCAATTTATCAGGCTCGACGGCGGCACGTCCACCACGTCCACCCCTCCATCCTGTTCTGTCCACCAATGCCAGTCCTAAACCGCCTTTTGGCTTTGCGCTTTGTGCAAACAAAACGCGGCTGCAAATGCCGGCACTGAAAAGTGGCAGCCACTTTCAATGAGCCTGCCCTGCCACGTGAGCCTGACGGCGGCCCACTTTACCCGGGTTAAACTCTTCGATACCCAGCATTCAATATAATACAGATGCGAAAACTGTGACGATGGGTTTGCCATTATTTTAACTCAATATTAACTTAAAACATATCCCATTTTCATTAAATATTCTCACATCAGATATACTCTTTAGCCTGCAGATAACGACTCGAAGTACCCTATAAAAAGACACAAAAAAGACAAATAAAACGACAAATCCAACATTACAAAAAAAAAAAACACCGCAAAGCAAATTTGACAGTCACTTTTTTTGGCAAACTGTGAGCCTCGCATACTTTTTGGAGCCTCAGATGGCGCTTTAATGTTTTATGGCTGCAGCTTAACATTTAAAGGCCGTGCAATGCATCGCATTCGCCGTGCAAATGCAAATATCTAGAGCCGTACACTTGCCACGTCTTTGGCGGCATTAAGAACGAGTCGTGAACATTTACGAGAATGCCAGGGGGATAGAGAGAGAAAAGAGATCCGTGGGGGCGAGCGGAAGAGATGACCGGGCCAAGAGCGGCTTTTACCTTGCCGTTTTCCCAGCCTAATCTCGGCAGTCTCCACAAACCAAATGGTCGTCATAAACAATGCGCTCACACAAAAGAAAACTTTGGCCAGACGTGCTGCCTACTCGATTTTCGGCATTGTCCGCAAATAAACTGTAGGCACAGTGGGGTGTTTATGCAAAACAAAGGTCAAAAGTTGGTCGACCCAGGGCTATACAGTCATTCAGATTTATATTTTCATTTAATGTGGTTTCATTGTTTTCTCAAATATATTATGCATAAAGACGAATACCCATGGCACTCAGAAGTATTTCTAAAGCAAGGATTCATCAGCCTCTATCGGCGTCGAAAGTTGGAAAAAATAAGATTCCATTAGGTGTGAGGACATATCTACCAGACATGTGACCCCTTGATTCAATGCTAAAAAGATCTATTGAGTGTGAGCTGGGATTGCCAGAGTTCTCTATGGCAGTGTCTCTTGAACAAAAACGGGCTTGTGTTAGAAGCACAATTCGTCCGTTCCGTTCCACTGTAAGATGATTTGGTCCAGGCTGGCCTTTTCTTCTGGTTTTCCTTTTTATGGGCCCCATCTTTTTTGTGGCCATTTTTTCCGTTTATATTTCATGGCATGTATTTTGGGGCAGGGGCTGACTGTGACGGTGGAGTAGGCGGAGGCGGAGGGCTGGGAATACTTCGGCTGCCCCGTTTATTGTCGTTTATTTGTCTTTTTGCCATTTTTATATTTACGCATATAATCGCTTTCAACGCTTTCCGCCGCCTTGGGAGCTCCTTGGGAGATTCCAGGACAGCGGATGGCGAAGGGATGTCTTGATTTCGGACTGTGGACTGTGGACCGTGCGGAGCGGAGCCCCAGAAGGAGGCGCTTATAAATATGATGTTATCGCTTTTTATGGTCCATTTTTATTGCCGGCAATCAGTCTTGCGTTTTGTTTGCTGATTGCTAGCCATTATTCAAATGTATTTGTTTAATTCCCGGGGATTGGCAGCCACAAATCATTTTAAATCCGCAATATGTCAACAAATATTTGAACAACGAGCACTTGGTCCGTTTTGATGCCCGCCCTCGAGGCGCTCCGGATCATTACGGTGGCTTACGACAGCTGTTAAATGGGTCGGGACTTGCACCACAGCTTACGGCGCATTACCAGCACCCACCCTACACGTCTACACATCCACATAGCTACCCACTCAGCCATCCCCTTCCCCTCCCCAAGAGTAGCCTAATCAGCTGCAAGCTCATAATCACGTTGCGTATACGTAATTAGTTTAGCGTTTGACAAGGCGAGCAAATCATCGTCCGGTGAGGAGTCCCGTCTTCGCCCACTCTCTCTCCCCCCCTCTCTCTCTCTCTCTCGCTCTGCTGATATATGCACTTTGTTGACAAACGAGCTGATTAAATGCCAGCTCTCGGTCATTATGCAATTAAATGGCAACAGACTCTGTGGGCCAGGTCGAGCGCGCGTGTGTGTGCCGAAGGCATTAAAGACAGCGCTTATTTACCTTAAAGCTTCAACGGGAATGAAGCCTGAGTCCGAACTGCAAATTTAACCATGAGCTAAACATAAATTCCCAGTTTACCTTGCTCATAATTCCCGAGAATCAGGCAAAGGCAAAGTCGTCTCCCAGGGAAACTGTTAATCAAACTTCCATAAAAAACAGTCTGCCAACATACGAAATGCTTTGTGCAAATTGTTTACTTTTTGGCATAGAGCGAATGCCAACCAGACTCCATGGACTCCAACCCCGACCCCAACAGCATCATGACACTCCTTTCACAGCATGCACACACGTGAGAGTCCACAAGCCAGAGTGAGGCATCCTGGGAGAGTGTCTCAGAATGCCAAGCAAATACTTGCCACACGATATATATAGCATGCAGAGAGGAGCCAGGCGGAGGGGCAGAAACATAGAGAGGAGACCGCAAAACGAATTGCGGATGCGGCAAAAATGCATTTCGCCAACTTGGCAGGCAAATGAACCCGAACTCCAACTGAACTGGAACTGCGATACAAGCACCCGAACATGTGAGGAGGATACTTTTGTCCTGGCCACAATCTCTGCGGATGTTACAAGTTCTTTGTTGTTTGTTGAGTCGCCGACAATGTAATCGGTTGTAAGACAATGCCGGCTTGCCATTTAAATGGTTCAATTTTGCTTCAGCCCCGGTCGATTGAGCTGCGATACAGAAAACTCATTACGAAGTTTAATTAAATCGAGTCCCGGCAACGGCAATGAGCAGGGGAAGGCGAAAATTGCATCGCACCAAGAAAACTCATTATTCATAACGACACGAAAGCACAAAACTGAAAATCTGCGTCCAGCTCCAGTGCTCCAGCTCCAGCTCCAGTGGCAGTGGCAGCGGCAGCTGCAACAGCTCAAAGCCGGCGCGTGCAGCAGCAAATAAAAACAA